GCATTATGGGATCCACAGTCTCTACGTTCCCTTGAAATGAGAGCTTTCAGGAGCTTTACAAAAAGAGAGACTCTGAATTGAATTCTAAGCTCTTTCTTCTTATATTTGAATAAGCAAACCATAGAAACTGTCTCCATTATCTATATGGTATGTAAATATGTGTGAACACAGGACTATAATGACTGATCTTTGTAAGAGAATAGTACATTACCCTCAGGGGTCTCAGGGTACAGGCATGCCCTTTCTACTTTCTATCACATGGCTAGGCTAGGCTAGGCAGCAACAATGTCTAATGAAACAAAACCAACAGTAAGAAACCAACAGTTCAGTTGAATAAAATGGAACAAAATATTTAGAAAAGCATCAACAACTTCAAATGAAGGCATAAATGGCTTTAAAGTAAAATTAATATACTAATGCATAATCATTAGAGCGAGTCAGGATTGTTCAATTTAAATATTAAAAACACCTATTGGTGCATCAAATGCAGTGTCAAATGATTTAAATTCTAGGCACAGATATGATTATCATGAGGATAGACATTTATAAAGCCAATGCACGGTATACAATACAATATTTCTGGAATTGGTCTTTCCTCACTTGATCTCAAATGGATCATCCCCAAATATATACATATCTATGGAGGTGTTACACTTCATAAATTCTGGTATTTCATTAAACTGTCAACTTATAGGACATATGGAATATCTTAAACCTCATTTGCATTGTTGTTATTGCTTTATCCTTTTAAACTTTCTATTTCAATCATATTTGGCAGAGTAAGAAGTTTGAGTTTAGTTAGTGCCAATAATTTTAGCCAATTCTGCTAGAGAGCCTTAAAGGAATTCCAGGCGACAGAAATGACGAAATATTGCTTCTGGGACAAGATCAAACGACTTTGACATATTCTATACCCAATCAGCACAAATAATTAACAATCAGCACAAATATACATACCATATTAGCAGATATCGGACAAATTCAAAAAGAAATATGTTTTGATCGATAAAATCACTGATTATTACATATCCAGCAATCGTAATGTTAAATCGGACATCACCTTATCTCCTAACTGGTACTATTACTGAGATTTCGCATCAACACTTTAGTCTACTAAATTATTGTTTAAAACTCATATATGTGAGCGTTAATGCAGGGGCATTTCATACAGCCTATAAACACCGCCCTTTCATTAAATGTGTTTTCTGGTTTCCTTAATTTCGCCAATTTCTTAAGAAATTGATGGATAATTTGAAGATTATATGATCAGACACATAAACATGGCATATACCACATAAGTTTCTCATATTTAGTTGTTGTTTTTTAGTTGCTGTTTTTTGTTGAACCATATATTACGTACATGGATAACGTATTTTATTTACAAGTAGGCTGCATCTTGTATTAGACCAACATAGCATCAAGTTTCACTAGAGCTGCTAAGAACACTTCTTATCAGATGTGTTGACAGCTCTCCTGATAAAGAAAGTGACCGGAGATTTCTGGATTTGAAACCGGAAGTGTGTTCTCTGAGGTCCGCGAAGAAGATGAAGAAGAAAATATAAAGATTTCAGGCAATTCAATTTTGCCGTCGATTTAATTTCAAATGGTTCTAAATAATCTTCGAATGCTTACTTTGACTTCTATTAGGCCTAGTGCTGTTTTGACTTCCCCACTTCATAAAAAAACATTATCACTTTTTGCTCGACTCATAAATTTACTCCCGGTCTACCGAGAGAAATGAAAGTTCTTAGAACCTTTTCAATCCTCAGTCTAAATTCGGCTTTTTAAAGGCTCAAACATCGACAAACATCCGGGATAAAAATAGCCAGCATCAGTTGACATACATGTATAGACCTTAATTGATGGATTGGAGGCTAGGATAAAAATGCTGTTGTGTTGCATAAGCCGCTGTTTCCTCGACAGTTCACCTCTTGTACTGATTTTCTTTGTGCTCTCTCATGTGCTTAAATTCTCACTTGGAGGAAGACGTTTTTGCAAAATATTATGCAAAAATATCTCGTCACGTGTATAATTCTAAAAAACAGCATTGAAATCTAATGGGCAATAGATTTGGAAGTGTATTCTGTGATGTCCCCGGGCTGATGTCCCTGCATTCACGATAAACTGCGTCATGATGAGATGTATTTAGAAGAAACAAGATCCTTATCATAGATATATAGGCCCTTCGGAGAATTTAAGGTGTGGGTACTGTGGGAGTCACATTTATCGATGAAATGATACATACAATTAAGGTCGTACAATTAAAGGACTTTTGAGCGGAAGTTTTTGCAAAAAGTTGTGAAAAAATATCTTGTCACATGAAAATTCTTATAAACAGCATTGAAATCGTACAGGCAATAGATTTTGAAGTGTATCCTGTGATGTCCCCAGGCTAATGTCCCAGCATTCAAGATAAACTGCGTCAAGATGTGCTGTATCTAGAATAAACAAAATCCCTTTTCATCCCCAGGTCTTCATCATCCTTTTTGCCATCTTAAAATGAGATTCCCTGTATTCTCTAAGCTTGTGACTATAGCAAAGCCAATACAAGTGATTAATTTCATTAAACATTGATGATTGAGCGATGGAGCAACCCCAAGAATTCTAGAAAAATTGTGTACATAATCTCAGAGAACAAACTTCCGGCTTGTTATTCATAATAAAAAACGTAAAGGCTAGAGTACCGACAATTGTCGGTACTCTAGACTCTGATGTGGTGGCACGCTAGAGGACCGACAAATAAATTGTCGGTACGGGAGATATGCTGTGATTACACGCTAGAGGACCGACAAATATTGATTTTCGAATTTTCTTGCGCATGCGCAATGCGCGGGGGCATATTTCAGATATCATACGGATATTTTGGGAACAAGTGCAAAACCCGGGGAGGGCATTAGCCCCGATTACCCGGGGATTACCAAACCCAGTCAAAAAATGGTAGCCCGGGAACAGGGAATGGTAGTAAACGTTGAAAGGCCCAATAAAAAACATGAACAAGTAAGACGTTAGAGAGCTATTAATGCAGAGTAAACGGCTATATATATTCTAAACAGACAGGATATTTCTCCTGAGCCGATCAGGCGTAGAAAGGGGAGTTTGCTACCCATTAGATAGAAGAAAATAGCTAGAATGTTTTTATCTGAAGCTTATGGTATGAGGTTCCATATCCATCCGCCAAAAGGTATGACCCCTATATAGTCCATTTAAAAACCTGTGGTATCGTTCTAAATAACCCATAGTTGGCTTCTAGGGTACCTAGTATGCCACTGTTTGGTATCAAAATAAAGAGGAGTTCAACTTTCATTTGAATTACGAAAATAGCGATGTAGGTCAAAATAGTTCCGAACGTGAGCATGTTTACTACGCGTTTGCCCGTCATATCAGAATTGAGGAAGTGGTAGCAAACGCGAGTTACAATAAACGGACGCTGATATCTCAAAAAGTAACCTGACTCCCTATAATTTGATGTAGGTCAATCGAACCCCTATATGGACAGGTGCATTTTGATATATAACACTATGGTGGGTAAGCGTTTTATAGTTGATCACGAACGCCATATGTGCAAAGTATTGTTATGAATTTTCGAATTTGGTGTTGGATTACGGTACTCATACCTTATAGCACAATTTTTGATGCATTTGGCTCCCTTACTTAATGGCCACGATTCCATCTCACAGCGATACAGTGATATATTCGAAATGAGATATATATGTAGAGAGTGACGGGGGCGAAAGCATCCCCTCCCCTAACTGTATATATCGACCCATTAGATAGAACAAGAAAAGAGCTTTAAAATGTTTTTTAATTGAAGCTTGTAGGACAATTTTGATGGAAGTTGAATCAATTTTAGTCGAAATAAATGATGGCTCACTACAAGTTAATGCCTGTACGATTCCATACTGCAAAAGAAGCACTATGCCCCCCCTCAAAAGAAAAAAGGAGACCTTGCCGGGATTCGAACTCGGGACCGAGTGTATACGAGTCGTGCTCGCTAACCACTAGACTACCAGTGATAAGGTTATTTATAAAAGTAAAAGTAGTGGATTTATTTATGAAATTGTCGGCTCTCTAGCAAAAACACGTAGCAGCCACTTGCGTACCGACAATTGTCGGTTCTCTATCTGGCACTACTAGTTGACGATAGAGCGCCGACAATTGTCGGTACCCCAGCAAATACCCATGGACAGTCTCCAGTACCGACAATTGTCGGTCCTGGAGCCACTCCGAATAAAAAAAGTGCTTCAACGGGGAATCGAACCCACGCCGGAAAAGTGAAAGGCGAGCTGCCTAACCACTATACCAGAGTGTTTTTCATGATTGGACAAAATTTTTGCAAATTTATAGTGATATACATGTGTGAAATTTTTAGGTGGCAATCTGGGTTGAAAAACTTTCGAGAGTGTTGTTTTATTGTTTAGATGACGAAAACTTCGATAAAAAACAATATAAACACAGATTATAAACACAAAGGCTCTCTAGCCAAAACACTATGTTCACAGCTAAATAGCCTTAAATTATGAGGCTCTTTAGCATTTTGGCTAAAGAGCCTTAAATTTTAAGGTACTCCAGACACTTCGTATCAATGATAACCCTAGGAGTGGAATGGACTGCTGGAAATGAATTTAAACTTGAACAGACCTTTCCAATAAACCAAGACTAGATTAGCTCGATATTCTCAAACAAAGAAAATGTCAGAATGTCATTACTTTCTGACATTATTAACTGACTATAAATTCATAATCCAAAAGATTCAAACCAATATCTCGATTACTTCTTGTGTTTTGGAATTTTTTGTTTGGAAATAAGACTAAAACTTGCTATTCAAAAGACGAGTCTCGATTTTGAAAATTGTGTTCACCAGTCTACTGCACGTTACGCCTGCTTTGGACAATTTTGATATTTTTACATATCGTAGATTTAATGTTCTCTTTTGAATATCCATACTTTAATTTAGGTGATATTTCTATATTTTTCAAAATATAATTATTAGCCCAGGAGACTTCTCCTAACCGAGACTTGTCCTTCCAAAGTGAACAAAACAGCGGCTGTTTGATTCAATTCAAATTTTGTAATCACGACATCTCCATCCATATATGGCAGAATATTGAGTTGAATCCCTAGGAACCAATCTTTGCATTTATAAAACCTATGATATCCTGAATATTGTTAATATATCTCAGTTCCTTTTTTGAAAGGTCCTAAATCTGGTCAATATATTTCAGTTTCTTAGTGTGACAGGTATGATTTTAATACTCCACTGCGTGAATTAGTATTATGGTGTATTAAAGATATCAAGACCATGTCTCAGCCTGGTATCGTTTATGTTTGTCCAACACTCGTAGATATGTTTCAGCTTCGTCCTCTGTTTTAAGTCCTTGCTCTTGAATGACAGACTTAAGGGCATCACGCACACTGTCTGGCATCTGTTTTGCATTGCTGAAAAGAGAAGACAGACAACTAAACTATTTCTGGACATCTGACTTTGCTATATGCTTTGTGTACAAATTAACTTTGGCCACATTTATTTTAAACTTATGTATTAGTCTCAAGAAATGACTTCAATTGAAAATGGGTCAATACAGACAAATGAACTACGTATAGTAATCCCTGATATAAATACCATTCTTAAAAAGCAACCTTAATTACTACACATGTATATTCAATTTGTAAATTATGCACCATCTAAGAACAATTATGTACAGAATGTAAAATTGAAATATCATTTTTGAAATGTCAATTATGACCTGTTTGACTATTGATAATTTGATTAATAGCAGTTTACTGTTAATATAAAGAGCTAAATAATAGTTTTAGATAATATGTACATTTATCCTTCAGTTGAAATTATAAATGTTGCCAGTTTTAGGAGGAAATGGAACATAATATTTTGAAGTTGAACCTCAAAAAATTCCAAACCTACCCTGCTATATAAAACCATGCTCCCTTATTTTCTAGAAGGTCCCATAGAAGCACTGCATTTTCCTTTATGACATGTTGCACATAGATTTTATGGTCCTGGTCCCTAGAAAATGCTGTGAAGAGTCTAAGGAGGCCTTTATTTTCATATGACATCCACTCCTCCTCGCAAAGGAAGTCACCTTTCTTGTTGCGACATCCGAAGAATAACACACAACCTATTGAAAACAAATCATAAAAAGTCAAAATTAGGCTAACATGAGTTATTTTCTTTGTAACGATGAACATTAACTATTACTTGCAATCTACCCGTTCGAGTGGGTCACAGCAGCCCTCATAAAATGCTAAATACCTCTATATTGATTTTTTGACCTTGACTGATTCTTGAATTGAGGTGAAATTGTGCTTTATAGTTAGAAGAAGAAGATTCAATGAGCTCTTTGATAAATAAATAGCTCACATAGATTTTAACAATGATCATTCTCATCTCTCCATGCTACACTTTCCAATGATAAAGATATATGATAAATCTGATTAATCTAGAAGATTAATAACCACCTTTATCATTGAAGAAATAAAAGAATACCATATTTATTTAATGAGAGATTATATTAACACATGAACAGCGAGAGATGTTTGATGAATAATATAGGAAGTCAACCTCTGTCTCAACATCTTAAAAATTCAGTCCAGTATACTACATCAAAACTCCATTGAGTAAAGCTAAATTATACATTCATAACAATGATAAGCTGCAAAAAACTTACAAAAATATTTCTATTTGAATCTATTTGAGTCTAAACTTTTTAATAAATTAAATATGTACTTACCTTCATTATTTTGTGATATCCGCTCCTGGATATAACCTCTAAATGGGGCACACCCTGTACCTAAAATTAGATATTTAACTTAAGACCTCAAAATTGGTATTGGGGAAGAGTATGTCCAAATGTTGCAATCTGAATAAAGTATGGTAAGTTATTGATGTTTATGATATTTTGATGATATGAAGAAAATAAACCATAACAAAAAATGATAATGGGTAATATGGTTAAAAATCTTAAATGGGATTAAAATATCAGTCTGTATTTAACCAATCAAATTTCAGAATTGATATAAGGTGTATGATAAAAAACAATATACCTGGGCCAACCATGATAACTGGAACTGTAGGATCCTTGGGAAAAGCTATGGTGCCTTTCTTTACCCATACAGGTACTCTGACATCTGGGGACTCTGGGGTCAGGCCTGATATCCAAGTAGAGCACACTCCACGACGTGGTTTCACTAGTTTGGTACGATATTGCACAACGGCCATTAATATATGGATCTCATCAGGGTACATCTGAAGATCAAGAAATAAGAGCATTTGATTGGTTGAGTAAGTTGTAAATCACGAGCTTCTGAGCCTTGCAAACATAGTTAAAAATAGTTGAAAACATGTTTATGGAAAATGGAGTGGTTTACACAACTTACCTTTATGAAATACAAAAATTCATGTAATTTAGAGAAACCATATCAAAAATTATGATCCTCATATCATGTAGCATATATAATAAGGAAACCTGACTTATATACAGCTAAGTTAGATAAAAACCAGATAATATATAAAGATGATGTTATAATGGTAAATTAATGATATGTACATGTACTTTTAAAACCAATGCTATTTACCTGTAATGATGATGCTATTGAGAAGGCCCTTGGCTGCATAGCTGGTATGAGATCAAAAAGGTATTCAAAGGGTACCTTAACATGTGAGAAATCTTGTAGAACCTCCAGTATAGATCTTCTTACTCTGTTACAATATGAGTAGAGTTCTTCCTACAATAATATATGATTGTGTAATTCTAATAACTTTATACTCTATAATTGTAAATCTAGTCATATTATGTCGACACAGATTTTGTAACAAAGGCAGACATTTTTGTAAAAATTGCACAGACTCTTTTTGTCAATATGTAATCTTCTTTCAGTTTAATAATTATACATTTACATTTTTGGGGAGGGAGAGAATCATACCGAAATGTACATTTTGGGACAATACTGAAATATAGACCTGGTCTCGTTAATAACAATATTCATATCAGATCCTGGCTATGCCCCTGCTATTCAACTCATTACAATGGTTTAATATGACAAACATATAGCTCCATATATTGAATGTTCTCTTCTGTATGTTACCTACCTGGCCCTCTGCTGAAGCAAGTTCTCTCAGTTTCTCTCTCTCTGTGTCATCAGCTGTGAAGAATGAAAGAAGCTGGAAGAAATATCTTCTAGGAATAGAGTTGATGTCTAAGTACTTCTCTACTAGATATTCAACGCTACAAGGCTGCGGAAGACCACTTGGCAGGGGCATATCTAAAATATAAGATCCCCATTCGTAACAAACTAAATCTAAAATGCAACAAATTCTAACTTCAAACATAGATCTTCTTTTCAAAAACATATCTAGATTACAATTCCAGAATTCCAGTTACCTCAAATTAAAGTATATGTGACATAAAAATATATCATCAATTATCATAAATTGAAGGGCTCATCATTTGAATAAGAGCTGAATTGAAGAGCTCATTGTATGATAAACATACTCTAATTTGGAACAATTTCAATAACAAATAATAAATAAAAAAATATGTAGTTACCTTGTAAACACAAGAATGTTTTTCAAAATTACTCTTTCGTTCATAATCATCAGCTGATGTTCATATCATTTATCTATCAAAAAAATAAATAAATAATTTTTTATTGATTAATTTATTTACCTGGGTCATTCTGTGCCAATGTGAAGTATTGATTTCTATCTAGTCCCATGAGTTCTATAAAGTCTACTACTGTATCAGACATGTTACTGGGCTGTATCATTAAGACATCACCAGCTGAATATCTACAAAACACAATCATAAAATATAAGCATTGAGTACTGGAAAAATTAGTTCTACTTTATGTTCTACAGGAGTTCAATGATGTTTTTACAAACTGTTCAAGAATAATTCCTGAAATGACAGATTTATGATGAACAATTCTTGAATAATTCCTTATCTGGATTATTGGAATTTTTAAAAGTGGTTCATAAATGCCTTTATCATTAAGGTCGATATTTTACGAAATCCAATACATGCCAAAAAATCTAAATAATGAGAAGGCAGTTTATTAGTTCTATTTATGAATCATTCTTGAATAGTTCTTGAACAAATGTGAAATTTTCTTGTATTTTCCACAGGGATGATCAATAGACAAGAAAACAAATCTATTGGTATCTAGGCTAGCCCATATTGATGTATAAAGTGTAACATTTAGTTTAGATATCTTTAGATACCAAAACAAGTTAAAATGTTGTCAATGCATAATATATGACCACAGTTTTCATGAGCTCTGTTTTGCTCAATTCATGAAACTCTTGCTTGAAACTCTAACATGTAAGCAATTTGATAAGAATTTTCTTACTTTATTTTTGAATTACTGATATCAAATTTTACTAGGCGGACATCTTGAAAATGATCAGGAGCTGTCACCCTCTTATTTGAGATCATCCGAGCGTGATAAGGACACACATTACTGTATACTCCTGATTGTTGGGTTGTTCCATTTCTATTGCCTACAGGGGTGCTAGCTTGGGTATCCCTGTCCAGGAGCTGTACCTTGTATTTGGCTGGAGGACTGAAAAACATATAAAGGCAATGTCCAATAAACATGTTGAATATTGGAAGCAATCTTTGGAAAATCATGCCAATGTTTTTCTTTTAGTCCAAGTTTTATTTCTGTATTTCCTGACAAAACTTAATTTGATTTATCAAACATGATATTATTGAAGATTAAAGATGCAGAGATTTTCAACTTCACTTTTTCATTTTTTGCCAGATAGGTCAAAAATTGAAAGATTCTCATCATATTAAAATCAAAAATGTTGAACTTTGTAGTTTTGGAATTATGAGAGCAAAAATAAACATAAAAAAGATGGATTAAACTGACATTTATTAACAATATTGGACAAAAATCTGACATCATTAATTGTATTTCAGAAAGATAATGATATCACATATTATTTGTTGAAAAACAAAAAAAAAATATCAGAAATCTTTACTGCAGTTGATTATAAATTAAAAAAAACATCTGTAAAATAGAATGGATCAAACCATTACGGTTTTCAGAAATATATTCAGAAAACTTTTGTAAATCAATTATGTATTAAGTGTAGAGTACTTACAGTATTTCATCACTGATGATTTCCAAACCAGGTGGAATAGGAAATATGTTGAGTGTTTTCTCCCAAAGAGAATTCAGCCAAGGGTCTATAACAGCATCAGCCCTGAAACACAATCAATCATCAAATATATTGTACCCTTTTCACGTTTGATTTTGTATCTTTAAAGAGCTTTATCTACACTCTTTGAACAAGGGATAATTCATTAATAATCTGGCCTTACCTTAGGTCTATAAAAATGCCATTAAGAATTGCAATAATGACAGAATTGTATACCCTTATATTACAAATAGCTGACCTTTATTTCATATGATTAAAGTTCCATTGAAAGGGGATGACATCTACTTTTTGGACCTTATTAGCATCAAAACTGTAAATTATCTATTCAGCCAGAGTGAAGCAACAACTTCTAGCCTCTGAGTTCCAGGGCTAGAATATTTTGCAAGTGGGCAAGGGTTATAATAGTAGGATTCCAGAGCCATAATTGAAAAATCAGGAATTGGTGTTTCAAAATTTGGACAAGGGATTTCAAAGAAAGGATTTTGAATGATGGCTATTTCGAAATAACTTATATAAGTCCACCCATATAGCTCAGCGGTAAGGTATGTATATCTTACGCAATAGGTCCTGGATTTGATCCCTGGTTCAGGCAATACTTAATTTGCTTGTTTGCGTTAAGTACTTCAGGACGTTTGACTGAGTGGTCCATAACTCGTACAAAAGGTTTTGGTGTGTACTTGTATGTCTATGTACAAGTGCACACCTTCAAGGAGGGGTTTCTGGGTCTATCTTCAAGGTCAATTACGTAAATTACGACCGTATATATACGGGAGGTATTGCTCACCTTAATTGGTGGTAAACAAAATACAATACAATGTGTAAGCTAATGAAAGCAATCCAGAAATGAATCAGATAATGGGTAAGATAGAAATCCCAGATTCCAGAAAACAATTAGAAAAAAAATTTCCATTACAGATTCACATTTATCAGTCAATTTCGGTCAACAAATTATTGTCTAAATGGATAGTCTTGCAGGCTACTTGCACATACAAAGAGTCACACGTATAAATCAAGGCAAAAAGTTCTGGTTACCCTAAATCATGCTGATCATCTGCAAGGCCTACTGGGACTAAAGAATTCCCTCCAAGTTGGATCAGCCTCTTATGCAACTTCTTGGCTATAAAGTTAAACCTACAAATGTAAAATGTGCATGTACATGTACAAGCATCAAAAATTAGTTCATATTTAAGCAATACATAGATGAATAAATAACTGTAAATTGCTGTAATTTTGTGCAATGTCACTTCGTAATAAGTGAAGAGGTAAATATATTTTTTTGATTAAAATCCAATTTTTGATGAATTCTGAATTTCCACAGAATACTAGGATATTGTACAAATTCACCACCTTTATGCATCTCTGGATAAAATATCTGAAAATTATTCCGAGATGAATTTTACATGGACTTATCTTACTTCTGATATGAGGAGTCTCCAAGACCTAGGACAGCAAAGTTGGTATTTGTAAGAGAGTTGGCAGGTAAGTTTCTGCGAAATATGAACCTCCAGAAGAGATGCATGTTATCTGGGGCATCCCCTTGTCCTGTAGTGGAGCACACAATCACTAACAACCTTTCATTGATCAAGTTGCCCTATAAATATATGTTATATGTATATTTCAGGAGTTCAAACAGAAGCAGGAAAAGGGCAATTTTCTCTTGTAGCTTCTCCAATAATCATCTGTTTTTTTTTAATCTTGCAACTGTTTCTATGTAAAAGATTTGATTTTAATTTGATCATTTTGTTTAATTTGTTTTACGTATTGTCAGAAATGCCAATTGTCAGAAAGTATTGGGTAAAGACCACAAGATTATGAGAGATGACTGATGATGAGTGTAACATTTTTGGATTGAAAGATACATTGATCTGTTGATTGATAATGATACAGGAATACAAAAAATCTTTTAAAATCATGCAGTTTTTCACCATCCTGAGCACTTTTTAAGTGATTTTGGCCATTTTTGGACCAAAATTGTCACAAGTAAACCCCCCTGGAATTTTTCAAAAAGTGACCCCCCCCCCTTGGCAAATCCTGGTTACGGGCCTGACATGTACACTGCAGTCGTTTCAGCAAAGGGCAATTTTCTCTTGTAGCTATTACAAATATTGTCTTTTTTTTAATTTTGCAACTGTTTATTTTAATTGATTTGATTTACTAAACAATTTCCTGGCCAATATTTTAGACAGTTTGCTCCTCAATCACCCCTCATAAAAGAATAGATGAAAGATACAGTAATGCTAAATGATCAAGAAACCACGGACGTCAAATAAGTTCTTCGAAAACGAGATAAGAATTTGGAATCCCAATCTCCTTTCGCCAGAACATTCTTTTCGACTGTGCAAGAAATACAATTTCTATTTCCTTACCACATTACATTCATCCAGAGATGAAATTCTTGTTGCAAAATGTCTTCTTTTTGCATCTCTAGCCACCCTCTCTGCAACATCCTGAGCAGTGCCTGTTTGGCTGCCATAAAGTACTAGTAATTGGCGAGATCCCATATTTTAATGCTGCAAATATTAAACCATACTATTACAGCAGAGGTTTCAGATTTGGCGTAGTGAGCCTGTCTAAATACACTATAACACTTCTTCCTGGGCCTGTGGTCAGATGTTTTGGAATTTTATCAACAGATGCTTATATAAATAACTCAGATGCGAGTATGAAGCAACCAGTTTCATCACCAGGTGGCTAATTCGGGGAAGTTGGAAAAAAGTTCACTAGGGGCAATCTGCGCGAGGTTCCATTTTTAAGTTAGGTTTTTTGCACATGCGCATAAGATCCAGCAATTTAATTGGTTCAAATTATTTAAATGAATGCGCAATCAATAACTAGATTAGAACTTAAGATACATGTATTGTCACTTACGTTCATTATTTCACAGTAGTCCCTACCCATAACTCATCTTTAATTGCGGGAATATAATAGTTTTGTATAAAAACAAAAGCATACACAGAACAGAAGTGTAATAACATAATGATGTAACAAAGCCAGTTTATTAATAATATGTCATGACCCTTGGTAGTATTAACGGACACTACTTAGTATAATCTCCTGCAGGCCTGTCAACTTGGGAACACCTAACATGAGTGACTTGGAAATGTTGAACACCTCCCCTCAAAATGGGGACATATTGGTCCAAATCTGAACACCTTGATCCAAATTTTGAACACCTTGGTTTAAATTTTATTACATCTTGCTAAATTTTGAACACCTCAAATTTTTCGCGCTCGCTGCGCTCACGTTCCACACATCCATCAAAGGGGGGGGGGGGGGGGGGGGGGGGGTAGGTACGAAAAATTTCGAACGGAATGCGTGACATATACATAATTCGCGTGAAAAGTCCGAACAAAATGCGTACATTTTTTACCGGCGTTCGTATTTTTGCTGTGTAGACGATCTTTTTTAGAAATTTTTCTTCAGAAATATTTTTGCTTGACAATTACCAGGTAAAATGCGTATTTGCGTGACATTTTCTGTCACGCAAAAATAACTGGCGTGACTTCAAATTCTTCAGCAAATGCGTGGCAAATACGCAAATTGCGGGACAGTTGACAGGCCTGCTCCTGTACTAAAGCTAGTAATATTTAGACTATGACCATCTATATTCTTTGTCATGTTGTGTCTACTAGCCACATATATATACTAGTATGTATTTATTCACATATACTAGTGGGTCTAGTGGCATTATTACGGATGGTGGGAGGTCCTCCGTCTATCTAAGTAATATATGGAGGACTTCCCACCATCCGTGGGCATTACACATTTATATTTCATTTTTGTACTTAAGTAGTTTGTAGTTATTTGTATGCTTTGTATATGACCCCTGATGGGGATTGAAATACAATAAAGCTAATAAATTTGAATTTGTGAACTGACCCCCGTGTGGACGTTTGATGTACAAATTTAAACCGAACTGATCGCAGAAAACCAATTTGAATCATGGGAAGGAAGTACTTCCATTAATGAAAAACCGAACCGAGTAAAAACCGAACCTCGCGCAGATTGCCCCGACTCAAAAAGTTGGAAAAGGCCAAAAAGTTGAGACTCGATTATCACCCACGAATTTTATTTTAGACTTTATTAGAGAATAATTTGATATTGTTTTGATTCATTTTTATACCTCATTGATAGAAAATTAAAAAAATACACACTGATTACTATTACCTGAATTTATAGTCAACTGAGTGAAGAATTTTCAATGATAAATGGTTGTTATCGCAAATATTTATTTTTTTAAATTCTGGGTTCGTACTAAAATAACAACCTCACTTCCGGTTTAGAATAGTGAAACGAAATTGTTGAAAATATTTACTATCAGAATTGCGGGATAATTATTAATTGTTCCAGTCCTTTTAAACTCTTTCACTGGTGATCCACTCGATTACGCTGGTTACCAAAACGAACCGTTTTGGTAACAAAATGTCGGAACGTCGAAGGCACGGTTTTTCTTTTTTCCTGAATTCACGCGTTGTAGGCAGAATCCCCACGACGTTTTTTCTCACAACGTGCATCAGTATCATATGTTTTAGAAAATGTACATGTTTGCGAAAAAATAGCTCAGAAGACAACAGAATCGTCGATTTACTTCCTCACTTAAGTTACATAAACGGTTTTTCGAAAAACAGTTAAGATCTGCACTTTTAACCCAAACCGTTTATGTAACTTAAGTGAGGAAGTAAATCGACGATTATGTTGTCTTCTGAACTATTTGTTCGCAAATATGTACAATTTCTTAAACATATGATACTGATACACGTTTGTGTTAAAAAATGTCGTGGGAATTCTGCCTACAACGTATAAAATAAGGAAACGAGAAAAATCGTACCTTCGATGTTCCGACATTTTGTTACCAAAACGAACCGTTTTGGTAACCAGCGTAATCGAGTGGATCACCAGTGTCTTTAGCGAAAAACATATTTAACATACCATGTAATCCTACTATACCTGGTGCTTAGCTTTTCTCTGAACCGACATCACTGACATATACATGTACATCTCCATCAATAGGGCCTGATTTACTCACGTCGAGAGCTACCATGTTAGATTTTGAAAGTATATACTTTCAAAATCTAAGTAGCTCTCGACGGGAGTAAGGCCTGATCAAACTCGACCCACACAATTGTCCGGCTGTGACGAGTGACGGAGCGTGCTATTTTGCATAGAAAAACTAGGAAATCCACTTGAATTTATTTTTTTACTCATATGTTTCGCTATATCAAAGAAAATTACCTACTGCATGGATTGACATTTCCGCGGGTAACTTTCACTTCTGTTTGAAGTCCAACAACGCCTGTAAAAGCTATTGAAAACGGCGCCGGAGAATCATACTCCAAAATGTACCATTTCTTTTATTTCTTTTTAATGGTACAATATGGTGACACGATAATATTTATATGTTTTCATCATAACTCCGAAGGTATTAATGAGATCATTGGGTTTAATTTTTTTTATAAAAATTGCGATCGCACCCCCCCCCCCCCCCCCCCATAGCCTAACCAATAAAAATAAAACCATGAAAAAGAAGTATAGCGCTTTAAAATGCACAATCGCACACCCCCCCCACCCCTTGACTGGAAACCGAATTTGTTTAGCGATCGCACCCCCCCCCCCCCTGACTGAAAGCTGACTATACGCCCCTAATAAGAAAAGAGCTTCAAAATGATTTTTATTTGATGCTTCTAGCTCAATTTTGAAAACCGAATTTTTTTGGCGATCGCACCCGACCCCCTGACTGAAAGCTGGCTACGCCCCTGACGTTATTTTCAAATATAGAGTCCTACGTTGAATTTAATAAAATTAAGATTGCCCATATTGATTGCTTGCCTTTCATTTTTAACAAATTTAACTAAATTAAAAAGAAAAAATGGGTGAGAAACGTTGCCTAAGATCTAGGATCTTTTCTTCATCCTAGCCTAAGATTGTCTTTTACATATTTTCCTCAAACCCTGAGGCTACCCGTACCAAAACACCGACTGGTTGGTGGGGTCGATCCGCGGGGGTCGATCTTTTTAAAAATCTCATTATTGATCCTAATCCAAACCGCGGCAGTTCGAATCCCAAATGGTCCGAAACTCAATCGTCCGATTTCCTCGATGGTTCGATTCACATTGGTCAAACCCAGTAACGCTAATTTCGATCTATCAAGATAGGCTAACGATGCAAGAAATGTGTGAACGTCGGATAAAAATCAGTAAAGTAACTGAATACTAGAATAAATCATTTTTACTAGAAATACGTACTTTTCACTTTTTGCGCATTATGTTCTTTTCAATTAAGTTGAAAATGGTTAAAACGAAAGGTAATTATAAAAAAAACTACGGTTCCTGACCTGTCAAGCTATCGTTCCTAAGTAAGGTAATCGATCCTATTTTTTACTGAAATTCAACGTACGCCTATATTTATGAAAAGTACGTATTCCTAATAAAAATGATTTGTTACGGTTACTACTGCAACGACTAACCAACCAACACGTTGTAATGTTACGTGCGTTCCATTTCAATTTGTGACTAGCCATTTAAGCGCATCATTGGAAAGCTATTTTTGTCATATGTAGTTTTACCAGGCTAAAGTTTAACAGCTGAGCCATCGAACATTACGTAATCTTTAAAAAGATGAAGGCGAGATTTAAAGACCGACGCAGTGTTTAAGTGTGTGTTTTTGTTATTTTCAAACTGAACGTAATGTTACTTGCGTTTTGTCATCATGATCCAAAGTGACAAGCCAGAATGACGTCATTGGTCTTATAACAACTTTAAAATATGACATTACAGACCACGGTGGGTGATATTACGCTTTTCATGTGCGTCCTTCATCGTTTAAAAGGATTATAACCACGACCTTTTAAATGTGCTATAGTCATTGGATTCATAGTTTAAATTTTTTCCTATTCTAATTTTGCATCTATCATCTTTATGTAAAAGACCGACAGCGGACCATGTGTACCAAACTGTAGAGTAACTGGTCTGCGGTTGGCCTTTTTCATAAGCGTTTTTCATCATGATTTAGAATGGCTAAACACATTTTACACGGTATCTTAAAAGGTACTTGTCATTGGATTTCTCATTTTTGGTTCTATTTTCCTCTTCTAAATCTCCAGATATTATTTGGATAATGTCTCATTATTTTCATGAAAATTATTTTTTTAATATGTACAATACATTATATCTGTAAATCTTAAAACCAAATAACCCAGATGCGAGTAGAAATGATCTTGATTTACTCATTAAAAATGAAAAATTCAGTCAAACTAATATCATATTTGAAATCTACATGTAAAATTACATCTAGAAATGTGGTTTTAAAAAGTGTTTATCAACTTTGAAAAATTAATTTTCTTTGAAAATGTGACTTCTAGCTCGGGGAGATTCCCCATAGACCCCATGCTATAAAATCACAAAAAATGAAATATCTTTTCTTTTAGTGGACAGATAATATTTTGCTTTACTGGACATATTTTCATTAGTATAAGTATCAGACGCATAAGGGTTATATGAAAATTGAGCCACTTAAATTGATAATATTCAAGTTTAAGGGAACTTTCTCATATACCTGCCATGTTAATTGACCCGCTTATGAAAATTTTTCAACTACCTACTCACATTTGGGTAATTGACATTCCATTCATGTTCTATGATTTCTGCATCTACAGGCTCTGGTATGTTAATAATAAAAAAAACATTGCAACTAGATAGAGTACAACTTCTTAAATGATTGTGTAAAGTTGCAATATTGTCCATCTATTCAAAATTAATGTCAGATTACAGCAATATTCTATATAGTTTATGTCATTGTTTAAAACAAAGTGCAATAATAAATATATTCTATAACATACATGTTATACTAACAATCCAAACGTGAACTTCTTTAGAACTTTTCAATAATTCAAACAGTAAAAATGTTGCAGTTTAAGTCAGTTTTAGAATAATTATACAGGAAAGAAACAATTTTCCATCATCAATGCTCATTCTTTGTTGCAATACAGTGTAGTGTTACCATCTTCAAAAGTAACTAAATTCCCACAATTGACAGGCTTTAGAGTTTTTTGGATTTGGCTCTTTTTTGGTAGTTCAACTCCATGTTCTATCTTGCATTTAAATATCCTAGAAAAGTTAGGGGGGGGTCTATCAGTCTTATGAATGTGATATTCTAATAGAACCCCCTCCCCCATTCTAAATTGTCATATTACTACTTTTTTGATTTCGGATTTGGTTGTTTCTGTCTATATTGTAGCATGTCAACTTCAAGATCAACAAATGACATTGTTTGGTGCTGGGAGTATTCCGGAACTTTGTATGTTGTATTGTCAGCATCTGAAACATAATATCAACAATTAAAGTTTGGAAAAATAGAAATAAAATTCATATATGGAGTCAAACCTGTGTAAGTAGAACATCCCTTGGTTCAAATAAAATGTTTCACTTGGGATGTAGGTGTTACACTTATGTATAGAGGTTTGATGATTTCAAGTTTGATGAAGGATCATTGTATTAAATGACTGTGAAAGGAGTTCCATTAACAAAGGTGTTTCACTATTAGAGGTGTTCTACTTCTACTTAATATAGAGGTGTTCCACTTGACAGATTTTAATGAAACTGAAATGTATATTTATTTGGTAGTTAAGGTCAAACTCAAAAGCAATATTTTGGGATTATCTTTGAATTGATAGAATAGTGCATCATTATTTTTATATACAGCGAAAATTCACATATTTTGGCATTCCACCATTCTACCATTTGCTACAATTTCATGGATCATGGGGGGGGGGGGGATCAATTTATAGATTAATGTAAAGATTAATGTGAAGATTATATTCGTTGGTTAATTGAATATATTGCTTGCACTTTTGTTGCCATCTACCAGTATATATCTGATTCTATCTTTAAACAACATGCACTCATACCCTGCTTCAGTTCAAATTAGTTCAGGTAATAGCGAAGAAGAGTTAAATTATGTCCTTAATAATTATTTGCATTTTAAATTACATGATCACAATTGATCATATTTCATATACCTTTGTCATAATCTAAAATAATTTACAAAGTAAATCTAGATTAGTCTTTTGATAATTATACCATCTTCCATTATTGAGAGAATCCTAATTTTAGTTATGTATATAGGCTAATACAGATGTACACCAATAGATAAAGATCATGCCAGAAAGTTAGTGCTTTAGAGGCTGGGCAAAATTGTGATGTTTTTTTCTACAAAATTAACAAGATCGTCATTGATTAAACCTTTTAGCCCATTCTCCCTTAACAAAATTACCTTCTTGCCTGCATAGGTATAAGAACAAGCCCCTTAATCCAATTTAAATAGAAAAGAAAGTTGGCCTGACATAAGGAAGAATATTTACATAAAGAAGCATGCATGCGGATGTGAAATTCTGTTTGTTAGTAATATTCCATTGAGAAAAGTGGCAGACCTTAAAGCAGGAGACCACTCACTTGAAACTGTGGTGTCATTTTCATTTAGAACTGTGGTGTCCTTTTTCTTTGGACCTGTGGTATCAGCACCAGCTGTTTCAAAAACTTCATTGGATTTCTCAGTTTCCATAGCACCAACAGATTTACTTTCAGGTGGAGAATGTTTGTTTAGTTCATTCGAGACATCTGTTTCAACAGCAGAGGTCATAGTTTCATTAGCTTCACTAATAGCACCAATCGTACCAGCCCCATCCGCAGTACCAGTTGTATCATGTTTACTAACAACACCAGTGGTTCCAAATTTCCGCACATTACCAGCGGTGTCAGATTCATCCACAGTATCAATTGATGCAAGTTTGCTCACATCACCAGCAGAACCAGGTTCATCCACAGCACCAAAGCCCCACATTTCATTGACAGGGCTAGTTGTTTTGCCCGGAGCTGCCTTTATAGAATCTGTACCATCTGTTTTATCAGTAACTGTAGTGTGTTTTTCAGCAGATTTTGTGACATCCTTTTCATCATCAGATGAATCTGAGTCACTTGAGGAATCAGAGTCACTTGAGGAACTTGAAGAATCACTGTCATTACCTGTGTCTGTCACTTCTACCTTAGGTTTCTTTACATTGATGGGATCTGCCTTGTTTACAACATCAGTGACATCCTTCTTAACCTGCCCAATGGTAGAAGTAGGGATTACTCGCTCAATGATCTTAGAATGTTCAACAATGGGTTCTGCAACATGACTCTCTGGTGGCACTACCTGTTCAACACTTCTAGCATCTTTTTTAACAGTCCCTAGGGCTTTTGGATCAGTTCGAGGAGTTGAAACTTCAGAATGTTCCATTCTAGGTTCACTTATATCAACTGCTTTTCGTTTAGCTTGTTCTATACCTATTGCATCAATTTTGACATAACCAACTGATGAAATGTCAGCTTTGGGCTCACTAAGATCAACCGCTTGTTTTTTAGCTTGTTCAACACTTGTTGGGTCAACTTTGACCTCACCAATACTTAACGATTCATGTTTAGGTTCACTCACATCAACTGCCTGTTTCTTCACTTGTTGAATACTTGAACTATCAATTTTAACACTACCAACACTTGCAGTCTCTGCTTTTGGACTACCAACTTCACTTTGTTCTTTGATCTTAGGCATCCCTACATATGCCTGTTGTTTATTGGCTGATTCTAACTTAACTTTTCCAACTTTTGGTTTTGCTTTGACTTTGGGGCTTTCGGGATTTAGTTTATTTAATTTTGTAGACTTACTAGCTGATTTAGGTTTAGGTTCTGTCTTAGTTGTTGCTTTCTTTGTGGTTGTTGTTTTCTTATCAGTTGTATATGCAAAGCTCAGCCTGGGAGTGATGGAGCCAAACATAGCCTGAAAAATGTAATTTGAAATTTTAACATTAATAACAAGGCACATGCAAAATGTCACCACTTGCCATTTTTTACAGATGCTAACTGATGAACACCATCCATAAAAAAATTGGGAGACTATAACTGTATATGTCACCATGACATAATAACATTACTATAGTTTCAAAAGTACACTAAAATCAGAACAACCTACAGTATAAGTTGGAAGTTGCACCATCAATAACCTTCATGGAAACTTTTTTTCTGTGAGAAGGCACAGAATGATGTCTATATAAAAGTCTACATGTACAGTATTAATAGATTTCCTTGAATCGAAATGACGAAAAATGAGAAGTCATGCACCATAACCAAGGCCTTGATCACAAATACTGTATGATCTGATGATTAATCAGCCTACATAATGACTTGACAATCTCACTGCCAAAATGTCACCACCACCTAGTTGCTCAAAGTATCATGAGTTCAATCTTTAGTCAGATTTGAACTTCTGAGACTTCGATGATTTTGAAAAGAAAAATTGGTCAATTTGAGGGAAGTTGAAAAAATACCTTTTTTACCTTGAGAAGGTCTGAGAAGGTCAAAACTCAAATCTAATGTCAGATTTGAACCTCTGAGAACTTGTAGACAATTTTGAAAAAATGGTCAATTTGAACTTTTGAAGTATGTTGAAAAAATACCTTTTTGACCTTGAGAAGGTCATTGAAGGACAAATCTCAAATCTGAAGACAGATTTGAACTTCCCAGATGATTTTGAAAAAATTTAACACAACTGGACGATTTGAAGCAAGTTGAAAACAACTTTGACTCTTTTTACCTTGAGCAGATCATCGAAGGTCAAATCTCAAATATAAAGTCAGATTTGTTAGAGATGATGACTACTAACTTTATCTCGTTCCAAGACTATCTCCACGTTCTAGTCTTGCGACGACTTATTCTTTTGTCTGTACGATTACAACATGGGAGAATTTTCTACGCTACTTACACTTAAGATACCTATTTGAATAGATTCCTTGGTATTTTAGCATTCTTTTCATGTAGTTGAATCCACAATTGTGTGGGTTTATCGGCAGAACGAAGAGGTTTTCGTTTTTGATAGCAATATTTGCGTGTAATATTTAACTTATTTCAACCGTCAAATTCCTCCATTCAGTTCCCGGCATGCACCAGTCATAAGGGAAATCCCTGGGGAATTCCCCTTCCGACATTTTTAAAATTGCTGATATATTTCCGATGTAAAAACTAAAATCTCTTCTTTCTGCCGATAAACCCATACAATTGGCGATCTAACAACATAAAAAGAATTCTAAAATACTAAGGAATGTATCGAGGTAGGTAATTTAGGTGTGCAATGCGTAGTATTTTCTCCAACTTTGTAAAAACATTGACTGACCAATTATACGCACGTACGACCACAATCTAAAGGGGTCGTAGGATGCGATAACCTGTACTCTGCCACCAATAAAGACCATAACAATAAGTAATCACTTTTGGTGATGGTTGATGCAGAGCTTCAGCCATGATATTTTTTTCAGAAATAATGTCAGAAAAGTATTAAATACTTCATGTATTAAAAACTTCATGTTGTTGTTGTTGAAATATTTTGAAATAAAATTTTGGATATTTTGGGCGATAATAGGGAATGTCAGGATTATATTGGAACTTCTGACTATTTAAACCGTATAACGTACATCGGCAAGGATTTGGAACTATTCTCGAGAATCTCCGATTGAATTAAATTTTTTAACAGATCGAGTAATATGCGTAAATACCTGTCGTTGAGCCAGAATAGGAATCGTTTTGAAAATTTTAGAGGCCATTTTGGTGTTCACCAGAGGGCGCAGAAGCCGTGATCTGAAAAAGTTGAACCCTTATTCGGTCTTTTCCTGTAGGTTGTTCAACATGGCAGAACAAGTATGTAAAACATGCCTTACGTTTATAATAAATATTATACTTTCTGAACTACAACTTTCAAATACATTGATCTTAACGCTTCGGATATGTAATGGAGTATCTATCAACATTGTCATTATGAAAATTAAAGCTCAAGAAGCTGTGAAACCCATCCTCTTCGATACAAATAATTAAAAATGGTGAAATTTTTAAAGAAATTATGTTCAAATTTCTACCTCGAGCAAGACAGGTTAGGCTACCTGAAAAAGAAGATAGATATTATATCTCTTCTCTAAACAAGCACTGTCAGAGAGGTAATTGCCTACCCTGGCTGAAATCAGCTCTGAAATGACAAATACTGCATGCTCAGCCTTCAAGGCTGATTTTGTAGAAAACAGATCTGTCGATCCTTCTCTTACATGGGAGATTTTAGCCTAAAGATACATTGAGTATAAATCCATCAGATTTTACCCCCAAGAATGTCCATTTCAACTGTACATCAACCGCATGAGGAAATAAAACAAATTGATCCCGGGGAGGGAAATTCTCTATCGAAAAGAAGAACATTAGCCAATCAAAACAATGTTCTACTTTTCTATCGTGTCTCCCGGGAATTTCCTTACGGGAATGTGATATCGTTTGAAAAATAGGTGTGAAAATAAATTTGTTCCTCTGCGAACTGCATCATGGGAAATATTTTGACCTTATAAGGAACATTTTTCGCGTCTCCTCTTTTGAAGAGGGAATTACGATCTGCTCATTTGTACGGATCATTCAATTTGATTTTAATTTTGTAAAAGACTGACTGATCTCCAATTCTCCAACTTGCATGAGAGCAGCCCAATATTTATGCAATCTTGAATATCATGTATTATTTTGTGTGTGCAGTGTTACTACAGTCCGATGTAGCGAATATATTATTCTCGCGAACTTGAAAAATAATCAGCAAAGATAAGCAACCACAGTGCAATATTACGTGAAGAATATATACATATTTTGGATACAAAATGTTTGTATATTTTGGATGGTTTGCCGTTTAGCTATGTAATGACCTGTTGTATTCTGATACATGTACTTCCCTGACGTTTTTCTCAAAATGTTTTCTGACAGTGTCCACAACTTTAGAACATTGATGGTATGTTGCCTTGTTTACCTTTTAGACTGAGCGTGCGTTTCAAAAGCAGCCTACTATATTCTTGAACAAGAAGAAGGCTCTTGTGAGTGGTAAAAAGCAAGAGCGCTTTGTGAGAAGTGTCGGCTTGGGATTCAAGACTCCACGTGAAGTAAGTCACATCTGATAATACCATACCATTTTTAACCTGGTTATACATAATTTCTTCAAACCTGGAAATGTCTCTTGAAAATTTTATGGAAGTATATATATCCAATTGGTAAAAATAATGTATACAGTCCAATTCAAAACTCTATTGAGAACTTATAATTTAAAAATAAGCAATTAAATGGCCATATTGCAACAGTATTTGGAAAAATAGAAACATATACAAGGCCTTTACTTTTGTATATTTCAGATAGTTATGTATATTGTGCAGCTAATTTCAGCCATGTTAATTTTTCCGAAAATAACATGGCAGAGAAGCATCAAAATATAAGAGCTACACAAATGATAGCCAAACTACAAAACAAATTAAAATATACAAAAGTTAGGCCAATTATGAATGTTTCTATGTTTTCATGTACTGTTTCAATGTGGTCCTTGGATTGCTTATTTTTTAGATTCAAAGTACGCAATGAAATTATGAATCTGACTTACATATTTACAAGAATAAGAGAAACCAAATCCTACACATTGAAACTACCTTGATAATAAACGATGGCATTATAATTATGAGGTTGTTTTGAAAAGCTGGAATGATGAGACTTCACGATGGTCTTCTGAATTAATTATAAAAAAGTTGATAAACCTGGGTCGCTGACCAGCTTTTGGAGTTCTGTAGGAAAACCAATATTCAAATTAGCTTACAATGTGTATTGTCACAACCAATATTGTGAAATGGTGCAGTCTTACCCACCTTATATGCATAGCATTTGTTTCACAATAATCTAGTCATTGCATCAATCAAAAGATTCTAGCTATCTGTTACTATTAAATAACAATCATTAATCCTCCAATTTACAATGCTACATTTTAATTTTTGTTTCAGGCCACAGAGGGAACCTATGTTGATAAAAAATGTCCATTCACTGGCAAGATTAACATTCGTGGAAGAATCCTTTCAGGCATTGTTTTTAAGATGAAGATGCAGCGTACCATCGTCATTCGTAGGGATTACCTGCACTATGTCAAGAAATACAACAGATTTGAGAAGCGACACAGGAACATGTCTGTCCACTGCAGTCCTGCATTCAGGTTTGTGAATAAAATATGGTGTACTTTATAAGACTTGTGATGTACAGTTTTTTAGGGGAGCAATAAGTGTTAGCATAATTACATTCTAAATTTTTATGGTCATTATTCCCATGATTTAGATGTTTTAATCTATACTCCATAGAATAATTAGGTTCTAGATAATATTGTCAAAATCTCAGCTGTTTGCAATTATACCCAAATGCTTCTGTTCCAAGGAGACTAATCCAGGCATTTTCCATTTTATCTTTAATATCTAATCATGTTCATCCCTTGACAGCAGATACTCTAGTAGTGGTTAATTTACTCATCAATTACTTCAAAGCTTCTGCCTTAGAAACAAGTGTATGGTTCAGTTACTGTTTATTCAGCATTATCCTCGAGTTAAAACCATCTTTTTATTTAGTGATTAATTGGGATTGAATTTGACAACTTAATTATTATGAGCTTACAAGTGAAGACAAGTAAGTTATTTGAAAATTAATCTGGATGCCTTTTTATCAATTTAAGACATCAGGTTTATTTTCCCCATGTTATTAAATTCACATTGAAAAGCGGAGGTTTTATATTGGCAGCAAGCATCTGGAGAAAAACCTATTATTTTACCAGATTTTACCTCAACAATTTTCATGTTTAGATTTTTAATAATTTGGCCTTTTCATTGTTTGCGAGATACTGTGGTAAAACCAGACCTTGGTACATAAATTAAATAGACTCCTGATGAGATATTTATTCAGACTTTATTTTTCAACTTAAGGCCAAACAAAAATATATGTCCGTTTCCGGAACCCCGACCGACCCTAGTTTGAACCCCCGACCCAGACATTTTTTAGTACACTGAAAAATAAAATATTCTATCTCTGCCCCTACTCGATTGAAACAATACATTTCCTTCTGAAATGTTTTACTCACATCAGGCCCAGGTGTCCATATTTCTCATACCCTGGAACACTTGCAGTAATATTATCGTTAGGGCCCCCAAAACACTTGGAACACAGGAAATATTGTTTATTTTCTTGAAAAGTTCGCCATTTTTGCTCTTCAAAATAGAGGCCCGCAATCAACTCCCAGAGGGGTCTAGCAATTGCTAGGGAGACATCTAAGGTTTCGGGTTTCACCCCCTTCAATAAAATTTGCAATTCCCATTTTACCATGCAGATTTGAAATAAGAAAAATAAAATCTTGGAGGGAAACTCGAAAACACAACAGCTATTTGCATAAATTTTTCACCCTGACCTTTCACTTAGGAATGTTTATAGTGGGAAATTTGAATGTTTATACCACATGATTGGTCTATTATAGTTTGATCTGATCACATGACTTATCATCATCATCACGTTTAGGAGGGGTGGAGGCTTTATACCCTGTAATGTTCTCCCATCTGATCTATTAAAAATTAAAACTGAATTTAGGGTAGGGAACTGATTATTGCTCACTAGTGGCTATTTGTAAAGATCTGAGTACCATGCCTTGTCCAGGAGGGTTTTGAAGTGGGAAACTATCAATGATACTCTGGGAGAGGGAATTCCAATGTACCACATGAAAATGTTATGTTCTCACAGAGACAAGTTTTCTCTGAATTGTTTGAATTAAAAATATTCTTCTAAGGTCTTCTAAAGCTGATTCTGTTTATTTTTGAGTCAGAAAAATTATATTTTTGAGGCATATATTAATATGATGACAACTTTGTAACCTCTGCTGATCCAGTGCTAAATATACTGATATTTGATGTCCATGAAGGCCTTTATCCAGAAGTTTCGAATGTTATGATGGAATAAAATTGATAATAGATCAACAGATCAATAGACTTGTTTATTATTATTATTATATAGGGCTAGTGTCAAGGAAAACTTTGTTTTATCGCGATAAGGCCAAACAAAAATATATGTCCGTTTCCGGAACCCCGACCGACCCTAGTTTGAACCCCCGACCCTAAGACATTTTTTAGTACACTGAAAAATAAAATATTCTATCTCTGGCCCTACTCGATTGAAACAATACATTTCCTTCTGAAATGTTTTACTCACATCAGGCCCAGGTGTCCATATTGCTCATACCCTGGAACATTTGCAGTAATATTATCGTTAGGGCCCCCAAAACACTTGAAACACAGGAAATATTGTTTATTTTCTTGAAAAGTTCGCCATTTTTGCTCTTCAAAATGGAGGCCCGCAATCAACTCCCAGAGGGGTCTAGCAATTGCTAGGGAGACATCTATAACACTAAGTACTAACTTGGTTTCGGGTTTCACCCCCTTCAATAAAATTTGCAATTCCCATTTTACCATGCAGATTTGAAATAAGAAAAATAAAATCTTGGGGAGGGAAACCCGAAAACACAACAGCTATTTGCATAAATCAGCCTGACCTTTCACTTAGGAATGTTTATAGTGGGAAATTTGAATTTGAATATTAAGACCACATGATTGGTCTATTATAGTTTGATCTGATCACATGACTTATCATCATCATTATCAAGTTTAGGAGGGGTGGAGGCTTTATACCCTGTAATGTTCTCCCATCTGATCTATTAAAATTAAAACTGAATTTAGGGTAGGGAACTGATTATTGCTCACTAGTGGCTATTTGTAAAGATCTGAGTACCATGTAGAAGTGAAGTGGGAAACTGACGTGGCATCAATGATACTCTGGGAGAGGGAATTCCAATGTACCAGATGAAAATGTTACGTTCTCACAGAGACAAGTTTTCTCTGAATTGTTTGAATTAAAAATATTCTTCTAAGGTCTTCTAAAGCTGATTCTGTTTATTTTTGAGTCAGAAAAATTATATTTTTGAGGCATATATAATATGATGACAACTTTGTAACCTCTGCTGATCCAGTGCTAAATATACTGATATTCGATTTCCATGAAGGCCTTTATCCAGAAGTTTCGAATGTTATGGTGGAATAAAATTGATAATAGATCAACAGATCAATAGACTTGTTTATTATTATATAGGCCTAGTGTAAAGGAAAACTTTGTCTTATCGCGATAATAACAATTTCAAGCGATAATAACAACTACCTTCCTTTGGTATTTAGTTACCTGGAAAAAATCTTACGTAACAATTTTCAATACCAGGTGAGAAAGTTAAGTTCGAACCCTGACCAAGTTGTTTATTTAGTTCAATATCTGAAGGTTTTAAGTAAGTACGGATCAAATGATTATAGATTGCATGATGAATTAAGGTCTCATGGCAGTTAAGAGCAAATGACAAAACGAAGAGATGACAAAAAACATAAGATAAAATATTTTTCTGACTGACCTACCCTAAAAAAAATTGAGTAAAATTTTAATGAAAAATAAAATAATCCTCCTACCTACCTACCCTAATCTGAAAATACATGGAGCAGGAAACAGACATATATTTTTGTTTGGCCTAATAACAATTTCAAGCGATAATAACAACTACCTTACTTTGGTATTTAGTTACCTAGAAAAAATCTCACGTAACAATTTTCAATACCAGGCGAGAAAGTTAAGTTCGAACCCTGACCAAGTTGTTTATTTAGTTCAATATCTGAAGGTTTTAAGTAAGTATGGATCAAATGATTATAGACTGCATGATGAATAATGCAGTGTGGCAAATAAGAGGTCGCCAAACGCCAAAAACAGGGAGTGAAAAAAATTTGGCGATAGAAGTTGCGATCTATCTCAACAATTTTGGCGATGGATGTTAGAACTTCACAGTTTTTATCCCCGACATTCTTGAAAAATGAAGTTTCATAGTTGATCCTATTCCCATTCACAAAGCTTTTTATTCTACCTAAAACATGATCAGAATAGAAGAACATAAAGCCACCTACCTTAGAGAAGAACAATTTGAAGTAAAATAGCCAGATAATCATCAGTATTTAGAAAAAAACACTGAAAAATCATCTAAATTTTGCCGTGAGCAGGCAGGAAGTTAGCCTACTCAGAGGTAACAATTTTGGTATTGTATCTGTATTGATCGCACTGCCATCTTTATAACTTATGAAAAACTGTTGAAGTCAGGATTCATTTATAACAACCAGATACCTGTCTAGAACTCCTTGCACATTTGATTCCTTTATTTGTTTATCCTCATTAGACTAAAAAAAGTTCATGATGTTCATTTTAAAGAGGTTCAATTCAAAAGATGCTACATTTTCAAAATATTGATCTCTCCAAACTCTGAAATAAAAGCTTCTTTGATGATACATACTCTAGCAGTATAGCCTAATAACACAATTTTCTTTATCTATATTGTTAGTACATACAACTCTAGTGTAGACATTTGATCAGCATGCTCCGTCTAATTTACCCTCAAAAAATTTTGAGTAAACAACCTACCTACCTGCCTAGTGCCTACCCCAAATCTGAAATTTCATTGATCAGGAAACAGACATGTGTGGCCTTTCCACTTATTTTAAGCAGTTTAATTTACCATTCGTAATTCATGAACAGATTAAGATGAGGGCAAAATTTATACTGACTAGACAAAATTATGGCCAGACGAAAAATATTTTGGCGAGAGTGTTTCAAATGTCTCTGGACAAATCTGGCTATAGTGAAAAAAATCCTTATTTGCCAGACTGATAATGGTCTCATGGCAGTTAAGAGCAAATGGCAAAACAAGAGATGACAAAACACATAAGATAAAATATTTTCTGACTGACCTACCCTAAAAAAATTGAGTAAAATTTTAATGAAAAATAAAATAATCCTCCTACCTACCTAAACTAATCTGAAAATACATGGAGCAGGAAACAGACATATATTTTGTTTGGCCTAAATATACCAATTACTATTGATGCTGGTATGATGAGACTACACGATTGTCTTCTGATTCTAATGCAGATAAACCTGGGTCGCTGACCAGCTTAGAAGAGCTCATTTATTAGCTATTTCATTTAAAATTGTATCTGTTTTAACTTTAACCTTTTTTTCATGGAAGTTCTATTCATTCTGAAAAAAATCTGCAAGAAAAATGGAAATTCTGCAACTGATTCATTCCCGGATGCCCATCCGTCTCGAGTACACAAAGGTATTCGAATGATCTTGATCTTGATAGTGCAGAGAAATCTTAATTTTACTGAGTGGCTCCAAGAAAAAATAACAAGTTTATTGGACCCCTAAACTATATATTCTCCGAGATAAATCTAGATTTAGCATTCCCCTGATAAACTACTGCTTAGCCAATCTGGTGGGATTTCAAAGTCTATTACATTTCAAAGCAAATCTGATGTTACTTACTTTTCACATCAATGTCTGTTAGAACTAAAATAAGGACTTAAAGTCCCCTAGGTCCAGAAAATAAATCCGATCTCGTCTTCTAATCAATTTTGAGCACAAATCTGTAATGAGTCATTAAACAGACATTTATAAAAAAAATATCAATCTCTTGAGAAGAGCACAATATAAGAGATAGATAAACTATAGGGGAAATCCTTTAATGATGTTCAGCTTAATTATCCCACTGAAACTAGTTTTTGTGGCTCTAAGGAAAAAAAGCCATCTGTCATCGGCCTGTCCATTCTGCTGGTACAGATAATGGTTGAAATATTTGGTTGAAATTTTATAGGTTGATACCTTGTGGGCTTAGGACTTCTGCACTCAGGGGTTTCATTAGCAGCAGGTAGCGGTTTTCACCGGTTTTTTTCACAAAATCGCCTGTTGCTTTTAGGGACTTTTCAACTTTTCCGTCCTCAATTTATGATTTCCATTAATTTTGACTGTTGTATTCATTTATTTAGCCTGTTGTGAGAAATTCTAGTGAAACCCCTTGCACTAGATTAATTTTTTTGAAAAATGGTAACTTTGATATCTCAAGTATCAGTTGTCAGATTTGATCCAACTTAAGAGTAAAATGCTTAAAAATTTAATAGCAGAGAATAACTTGTATGTAGAAATTCATACACAGAATTAATATGGCTCTTTAGACATGTTATATTGAAGTACTTTAATTCCTCACTATATAGGCTGAACTTACTTCCTGCTAAAGCTATTTGGATTTTGATATAATGGCTTTCCCACGGAGCATTTGGACAGCTGAATGATTGTGACCTTTGAAATCGAATTAAGTCGATCCGCGGCTTACTTTTGGTCTCTAACTGTGTCTTACATCAGTATCATCAATCCGTGTAAGTATTAGAGCGCTGAAATACTTCTTTTTCGATCAAGACTTGTAAATTGTTCATCGAGTGAATGTTTTTTAGACCTATTTCCAATATGGCGGTTTGCTAGGAGCGAGATACGCAAAGAACGAAATGAATTTTGAGAATTAGTTAGGTTCGGACAACCTCCGTAGATTTACGAAAATGTCCGAGCAGAAAACGCCATATTGGAATTTGGCAGTAAAAACATTCACTCGACTAACAATTACAAGTCTTGATCGAAAAGGAAGTACTTCAGCACTCCAATACTTACACGGATTGATGATACTGATGTAAGACACAGTTAGAGACCAAAAGTAAGCCGCGGATCGACTTAATTCGATTTCAAAGGTCACTATTAATCAGCTGTTCACTTCCCCGTTTGAGAGCCATAAGTTTCAAAATCTAACATGGCTCTCGAAGTGAGTAAGGCTGAACTCATTAAAATCCTTTACTTGACTTGATTTCCTTGTGGCCATGCTCTCTATCTTTTACCACATGTTCCAGGCATGTGAATCTATTAAGTATGCAGCATCCTTGTCTGTCAACTCATTTTGTGCAGAAGAACTTCTTAAACTGTGCTAACTTTCTATGAGACCAAAATCCTGTCATGTTTATCGCTAAGAACACGATTATTGCAGGTACATTATACATGTATGCTCATGTATGGATTATACACATCTGGTTGAATTATGGAACTTAAATTTCTATACACTATAATTTCAATTTTTATGTGCTTGAATTAACTTGTACTTCTATATACTTCCAGGGATGTTGCTGTCGGAGACATTGCAACAGTTGGAGAGTGCAGACCCCTTAGCAAGACCGTCAAATACAACCTCTTGAAGGTTACCAAAACTGCGGCTGGCAAGAAAGCTTTCGCCAAGTTTTAGACATGTCAAATTACATGTAAAGACATTTTACAAAAAAGGAAAAAAATATTCAAAAACCAAATCTGTGAAGTTTTGTTGATTTAAACCAGAAATCTGCATTGTATTTGTAGTCATAATTTGCCTGAAGTCCCTTTTGAGCTCTTACATGTCGTACCACCTCAAACATATGATATCAATGATGGAGTGAAGTAGATTAGTGGGGTCTAAAGATTTGATTGATGCAGGACTACAGTGCTCACCATAGATAAATGACATCTGGATTTGCTGAAGTGAAGAATTCCCATGTTAAAAAGAAGAGAATTATCCAGTGACCATGCATTAGTAGTTGAGAGTATACAAAATGTAAAAACTTAGGTAATGAGTATCTAGACGTCCCAAATCACCATGGTCTGGGAATGGTGATAGGAAATTAAATGCATTTATTTATGGTGGGTACTATAAGTTGTTTGTAGATATTCTAACAACACATTCACTTAAACATTCCTGCCTGCAAATCACTAATCGATGTAGCTAAGTAGAAGTTGTCTTCGTAATTAAATCCAACTTGACCTTTCTGTCTGTTTAGATAAGGCTATTTAACTAAATATCATTATCCCAACGAACGAAGTTCAGTAGGGATATATCGAAGCTGTCCGTCTGTTATATTACATTGTGACTGTACAGATGCATGACTTATATAGTGTTCGTTGGGATTTGCTACTCCGTGGAGTTGTTGTTTTCTAGTTTACATTAGGGCAACCAGTGCCCAAGAAATTCGTTCCTCTATTCTCCCACCGAACCAAGCGGTTGTTTGTGTGTGGGCCATTTTACATTTTATAGGCTCGCGGGTTGTCATAGAAAGATTTGTCCAGCTTGGTCATGTTCAACTTCACAAATTGTTTTTTAAGTCTTAGTTTTGTCATACCAGATAAAAATTTAACTGCTCAATGCAATGGGTATATCATTCGTGAATGTAACTCCAAAGCAATTAATTGAAATTGCAGTTGTTCCACAGCTTTAACAGCATTCATTCACTATTGGTGAGATGACCTGGCAATACAAATTATATTTGCATTTTGAAAGTTGAAAAGTTTCTGTGTGATTTAATACAAAATTGGAAACCTAAAAGAAGCGAAGTGGATGCTTGTTTAGAGTTGGAGCATATCCGATAAATGTTTTCATTTTTTTTCAAATTCATACAAAGTTTATATAACTTTTAAAATGCAAAAGGCCTCTTGATCACCAATACTGATTTAAGGATGTAAACTATAAAGCACCAATTTCAAATTCTTTGCTCTGGAGAAAGGATGAATGCTTAGTGCGTCGTTAAAAAATGAAGAAAACCACTATAGACAAAATATCTCTCTTATTAGATATCCTCTACAAATTGGTGACTATAATTGGGTACCCAACATGCCTTAGTTTATGAAATACCACATTTTTTTTATTTAATTCAAAAATGACTTAAAATCCGCATTTTGCGCACATGGTGTCCACACAGCTTGTTTTCGTTAGCACAGTCTCAGGCCTCCTAGACTTCCAACAACGCGAACATCAGTTCTGATACCGCGAACTACGTTCCTTGCACTCGACCCACGAATCTCATATCGCGAACGTGAAATCTTATGTCGCGCACGACCATTTCAGGCCTTGTTTCCGAACATATTGTACCTCGCACAGAGATCCGTTACCGCGAACAATTTGTACATAATACATCCGGGTGTTTGGGATTCCAAGTTACATGTATATACCAATATGAACCGGATTGAAACAAGGAAACGAAATTCAGTTTCTCCTCCGCTTTCGCCGGACTTTCGTTCCTTTGAAAAGCATGCAAGATTAACATCACGCCCCGAGTTGGCAGGGCTTTTAAATGATGTGTCAAAGGACAGCACTGCGTCCCACAGTCATTCATTTTTGGGATCAGAGAGTATCTGCGAACGGTGTGGTGTAATAGGAGATGTCATTTGTAAGAACAACAACGAAAGTGTAGAGGTGTGTGATAACTGTGGTTGGACCAGAAATTGTCTTGACACTAGTATATCACACGCTTGCACCGATGATCATGTTCCCGACATCCATTTTTGTGACTCATGTGGATGGCAGAGAGACTCAGCTTATTTCAGGTAGATCTACCGTTTTTGTATAGTTAATCTATTTTCTTACACTGGTTTTAGGTGCCATGGTAGTTAACAGGAAATGACAAAACAGGAAGTGACAAAACCATGCTGGATTTCAAACATGTTTTGAACCAAGATATCAGAGTTCTGCTTTGACCTCCAGTCAGTTTAACCAGTTCCACATGCCATTTACATGACCATGATCACCATGACCATGGTCAGAATGACCCTAGACATGATGAAATTAATTTTTCAGCCCTCTGAAATTTGTGACTGAAAAATAGATAAAAGTAGGAGCTTAGGAAAGGTCACTAAACAGAATCTCTTGCATTCTTCAGAAAATGTGCCTAATATTTTGCTCTCAGTGAAACAATATTGGGAAATTTGATATCATTCGTTGAAAAAGAAAAAAATGAAACAAACTGAATTGAAAAGCGATATTTTTTCCTTTTTATGACCGCCATCTTTTCAGACAAGTTTCTAAAATTTTAAAGATTGTATCATTTAGAGCACAGATATAGCACATCAAGTATTCTATAAAATCAGGAATATTGTACATAGGGTAACTCATTTCTTTATTATGATGCAATCATCGGCTCAAGTGGACAAAATTGGAAAAAGCTGTCACTAATTTGGCAATACGTTTTGTTACTCAAAAGTCAGGTTTTTGTTTTTGTTGTTATTACCCAGCCCTTTCACTGAAAATGTCCATGCACGTGATTGCAAGGTAGTCCCAATAATTTGTGTTTCCTAGAGCTTGAAAATACTGTTATCGTCAATGAGTGGATATTCATTCACATGCATGAAAACTGGGAAAATATTTCTTCCGAATTCCATAGGCTATGAAAACACCTCCTTGGAATTTTACTTATGCGTAATAATACGAACAAAATTACGGACTTTTTTCGATCAGATGCGTGGTTCGCGGTAACGGATCTCTGTGCGCGGTACAAGAAATATGTTCGGAAACAAGGAAATTGTGGTGCGCGACATAAGATTTCACGTTCGCGATATGAGATTCGTGGTTCGAGTGCAAGGAACGTAGTTCGCGGTATCAGAACTGATGTTCGCGTTCTTGGAAGTCTAGGAGGCCTGAGTCTGTATATGGCGTATTCGGGTAGCTGCGAAAGTTGCATTCTTGAATATAAACGCTTGCTTAAACAACGCATTCGTGAAAACACGCTTACTTAAATGGAAACGATGTACAAGCCTACCAAAAATTATACTAATTGAATGTTTTCGTGTGATCCTAAATATTTTTGAAAATCGATATCTCCTAAACTTGTTAAGTTATCGAAAGATACAGAAATGTCCAAATTCAAATTAGAATTGGAAAAGGAGATATTCTCTATATTCTGCCAGATTAAAATCGACCAACATGAAAATCCGTGCTAGGTTTTTAATAAAATAGGCATGACCTGGAATGATGAGTTGTGACACTTTTTTCGAAACCTCTCCACTCGTCCTTATCGCTTCCTGCCTCTTTCATTTAAACACAATTCTAAACCATACTTTTCTCTTCTGACGTACATAATTGATCATTGCTGCAACAGATCATCATGATCCATCAAGGTATTACCTGATTACAGGAATACACTGGCTTAACAGTATTGCAAAGAAGTCAGTTATAAGGGAAAGAGGAATTATGGCTGTCTATTATCGACCTCCTTCATATATTAAGTATACGATTATTCATATACTTGTAATCGTCCAACAACCTGTTGTACAGTACAGGGTATTCCAAAATACGTCAATTTATTAGAGGTCTTGTATACGTACCCGAGTCTAGGTTATGGCGCAGAGAGCGCCAGCTGTGTGTTATGCCTTGGTAACATTTGCTCCGATTTTCATTACGGCGCCCGGCCGATTGAGTATTTTGTTCAAAATTGAATACAATATTGAGCAAAACACTCAATCGCCCGGGCACCGGCCGATGGATCGGAGCAAATGTGACTCCGGCGTTAGTCTTAATTTGTCCAATTCTTCTAATCTTTCGTACATCGTCTTAAATGCAGATCAAATATGGGCACACGTAAGTTTGATATCGGTTAAACTATCTGGTCAACCATAACAAGTTAACTAAATTGAATGATTTTTACACCCGGAGTTGTTTTAAGTTTCATTTTAGATGGATACAAAAAAAAACTGGCCAACTGATCCTTTTCGCCCAAAGAAATCAATTCAACAAACAATTCATCCGTACCAATAAAGCTTTATTCTTTCTGCCTACTTTCTTACCCTCTTGCTTTAAACTTCAGGGTCCCATCTCATTTGTCAGTTTACCAATTGCTCCTATGCCCAGTGGGCAGCATTTGTCAATTTGATGCTAATATGGTCCATTTATTCCACAGAGTACTGTAAAGAACTAGGTATTGTGGCCTAACAGCCACGAGAGGCCAAATATGTTGTCATGTGACTAACTTCATTTATCATCGGACTTAATCCAATTACACTAAGTGATATAGACTAACTGTATTGGCTGTAAAGACATCGTTTTTGTTTGTGCAGGGGCGGATCTGGGAACCAACAAGGGGGAGGGGCAAATTTCAGGTCAGAGAAAAAACTTCGCCATGCAAACTAATAAAACTATGATCGTAAAAAAACTTTTTGTGATAAAATACGCGACCTGTTTAATTTGCTTGTGACTACCGAAGAATTACCGTTTATACACTTCCAAAAATATGGGTATTCGTAGTTTTTTCTTATTTTATGTGGTATTTCTTTACGAAACAAAGTGCTCGAGTATTTTCGTAAATGCTACAAGTAGATTCTGCGCGCGCAGGAATGGTGTCACTCTAAACGTACTTGAAGCACTCAATGGCAATGGCAATGTATGTGAACGCCAAATGTGAATGCATACTTTGTTGTTTACAATAATATTTGTATTTCTGGAATGCAGTCTTCAAAAGCAAAAGGTATTAATAAATCATTTTTATAATATACTGTATTATGTTGTCACGTCAATGACTTATATTGATAACATAGGGACCGATACTGGTGATCTTTACGGTTTAGTATCTGTCTACATTGCTGATAAATCTCATTCATATCCATTACATGAACGTAATAATGGCCCAGCCAAGTTTGCTAATTGAAATACTTTAAATTTCACATTCTTTCACGTTTTAAATGACACCAACATCTTCTTACTATAAAGCACGATCGTCCGTTCGTCTGTCTCTCCCTGTCCCTCTGTCCG